CTTAAAAAAAAAAAAATGGACTCTACCCTGGGCGCCTGGGTGGCTCAGTTGGTTATGTGTCTGCCTTCAGCTCAGGTCATGATCACAGGGTCCTGGGACGGAGAGCCTGGTGCTGGGCTCACTGCTCAGCAGGGAGTCTGCCTCTCCCTCTTCCTTTGCCCTTCCCCCACCTGTGCTCGCTCTCATATAAATAAAAATATTTTAAAATAAATAAATGAAAATCAAAGAAAATAAAATGGACCCTATCCTTAGAATACAACTGGGTTTAACATAGGTGAGGGAAAAAGAAAGTCAGAGAGGTGAAAAGAGTGAGCAAGATCTTCTTTTTATGTATGCACGTATAGGTTTCTCTGTTTGAAGTGGTTATCCTATTTCTCCCAAGAACACACTTCCCAGTCTTTTCTCCTTATACCAGATACACAACCTGAAAAACAAACATCCATGTCAGGGATTCTGCCAAATGTATGCCATGGTATTATCTCCACTGCCTTTCCCCATTCAATACCCCACCAAAATCAATGGCCATCACATGGAAGCAGCTTAATATTCCTTTAGAATTCCTTTAGAACATTCCTAGGCCACTGCTATTTTTCCATCTTGTTACTAGAACTCTAACCTAATCCCTTATCTTCTAAACTCCACAGACACACAAGCTTATAATCCCTTATCTTCTAAATTCCAAATGAACAAAATGCTGCCTCATTCATAACCCTGGGCTGAGGTTAAACTGAACAAAGTGCTACTTTTGTTTGCATATTTTTAAAGTTTCCCATACCTGAAAAATAATCCTTACACATTATGTTAAATCCAAATTAACATGGTGAAAATGTTTCTACTGAAGGCAAAGAATCAATTCTCATTATTATATCCAGTTGCTCTGTTGGAATACTGCCTCATATCATGGACCCTTTACACAGAGAGAAGGAATATTGCCACCCTCACCTTCCCAGAAGAGGGGGAAGAGCACCAGAAATCAAGTTGATAAAATAATTTTCTACCACAGAGAATTTTTGAGCTTTTCGTAAATACACAGTTACAGAAAGTTCTTTCAATACTGAAAGGTGTAGAGTGAAAGATTCAAAGACTGTAAATGTGAACTTTCTAAAATTCTTTTAAACTACAACTTGACAGGGCGCCTGGGTGGCTCAGGTGGTTAAGCGACTGCCTTCGGCTCAAGTCATGATCCCAGGGTCCTGGGATCGAGTCCCGCATCCAGCTCCCTGCTCGGCAGGCAGTCTGCTTCTCCTTCTCCCTCTGCCTCTGCCTCTCCCCCTGCTTGTTCTCTCTCTGTCTCTCTCGCAAATGAATAAATAAAATCTTTAAAAAAAATAAAATAAACTACAACTTGACAGTAAAAAACGCCATTTTTGCCTTGTTTGCCTAACCATAACACCTTCAGTAAACATCAGCTCTAATTAGTTACAATGAAAGGGATGTTTAGCCAATTCATTGTATGCAGGAACAGTATCTTATAAACAATTAAATATATTCCTATGTTTTTGCTCTTAAGATATATAAACAATGTCGACCTTTCTATCCATTCCTTAAACCTAGAACATGATTACGGTCAGGACACCTCTTGTAAGATTTCTTAGATGTGTCTGAGGGGTGGAAGACGGCCTGTCCCTTCAAGGACACACTTCCACTCAAGGTACCTTGTTCACTTTCCCTCGGTCGGTATAAACGTTCTAAGTTTTCGTGGCTGTGACTCTGTTCCTTCCTACCTTGACCATCATATTCGCACCCTCTACAGTAACTCTGTTTTGCTTCGCATTAGAGCAGAGAGACCCTTCGGTGTTTCTTCCTGACCTAGTGCTACTTGACTCTAGACGCTCAAGGTAAGGTAAGGGTCTCAAGAAGGTAAATGGCCATGAAGGTTCGGGGTTCAAGAGGGGCCGGGAAGAGCGAAAGCCTACGGCAGGGGTCCCTTTGGCCGCCACTGGACAACTAACCAGAAGGGACTCAATGCTTATGGCCTCTTTCCAGGGGAGGTACTGGCGGAAAGGGGTGCTGGAAACGGTGGAGGTGACGTGGCGTATTTCTCGGGAAGCACAGCAGCAAGCGGATCACCTCACAGGGGAGGATGTGCAAAATGCCCTCGGAAGTGGCGGTTGCTCCCCGGTGCCCCATGTGCCCTGCCGCGGGCGAGGACTCACCGTGCGGCTCGGGCCGGGGCCCCGCGGGTGGCGGCGGCTCCTGGTGCTGCAGCGGGGAGGTGGAGGCCGAGGCCGAGGCCGAGGCCGAGGCCGACGTGATGAGGAGCCTCTGGAAGCGGTTGGGCGGCCGGCAGGGCACCTCCAGGCCGGCCGCCAGCTTGGCCTTGTTGGCGCTGGTGAGCCTCTTGAGGTGCACGAGCAGCTGCGGCTGGTCGCGGCGGAAGTGCGGGCTGTGGAAGTGGTGGAGCGGCCCGTCGCCCGCCGGCCCGCCACCCCCTGGCCCCGGCCCGGGCCCCGCAGCGCCCGGCCCGCCCAGCACCACCTTGCGGAAGCCGTAGAGGTTGAGCTGGCGGATGAAGCTGGTGAAGTTGGTGGTTTTGAAGAGTTCGGGCTCGGCCCCGGCGCCCCCCACGCCGCCCACGCCGCCGCCCCCGGTCCCTGCCCCGGGCGGGCTGAGCAGCTCGGCCTCAAAGAGCGGCTGGTCGATAAGCAGCCCCTCACCACGGCCGTCCCAGCGGATCGAGCGGTACCGGGGACTGTTCACCAACCGCCACAGCTTGGCCGGGAAGTTGTTGGGGTTGATGGGGGTGGAGAGCAGCGCCTCCTCCATCGCCCCCGCCTGGGCACTGGGACTCGCCCTGCCGAGCCTGGCTCTCCCACCCCGTTCTCGATCCCCCCCCCCCCCCCGCCCGGCCTTCGCTACGCCCTGCCCCCCCTGCTGCCTGCGCCTGGCTGCCGCGGACCCTGGGACCGTTGGCGCACAAGCCCCCGCCGCGCCTTGCAGCGCGGCCAATGGGGCCTCGAGTTCCCGCCGCGCGGCGGAATGTGGCGTGAGCCGACCCGCCCCCTGGACGCCGCGCCGCCCGGCCCGCCCGACGACGCCGCGTGGAGCGCGGCCGCGTGCAGCGGCGTGGGGCGCGGCCGCTGCAAGTCGCGTTGCCTTGGCCGCGTCCCCGAACCGCCAGACTGCGGCGGAGTTGCTGCCCACCAGGTAAGGTTAAATCTGCAAAGAAATAAGCCTGATTATCCGGCGTGGAATACGAAGATTCGTGTTTATCCCACAACCGGCGTGTGGGGATTTCGAATTCTTAAGAGTGTACACTTGGCAATTCAAAGTCTGCCATTTTGGAGAACAAAGGGCCTAACTCTACGATCTGTAGATTATACTGTAGTATAAACTCTATAATCTGTAGATTATACCGTAAGTATGAACTAACAGTTTAATTGCTTGTCTCTCCAAAATAAAAATGGCGATGGGGGTATGGTATCCTGAGTAAACGATTCACCTTTTACATAGTACCATTTTATGTGTTTTAATAGACCTTTTTACGGCAATATTTTGCTCAGGACAGGTTTACTGAGAACTGAGGTGCCTATGAGGAGGGAATCGGAAGAATATAAATACAATCCTGTGTGCGTGGTCAACCAGCCGGTGCAATTTTAGACATTACACAGAAATAAACCTCACATGAGATGGGATAGAATTCTACAGTATCCATAAGGATAAATCCCTATCCGATCCCTAAATAAGAATATAGCAGGTGCTGTGCTGATAAAAAGAAAGGTCCATTTAGAAATGGAAATGGTTGGGAGGAAGGAGTATGTTTTAGTACTTTCTTGTGGTCAAAGAAAAAATGACTATCAAGTTTTCTTAGAAATTAAAATGAATAAAAAGACCCAACAAAGCAGCACTAATATAGAGATTTTATTTAAATTGTATTGAGTTTTTACAGCACATTGCATGTTTGTCACAACGCAACTGCACAGTTTGGATTTTTGGCCACATCATGTCACTTACACCCACAAGAGCTCTGAAAGGAGTATTTGATGAATACATCTGAGCTGAGAGCCCAGAGTCTCTCTCCAAGGCCATGCAGTATGTTCACTGATGGGACAGTCCCTCAAAACAGCCACCCAAAAGTAGACAGATAGAGTCTCCTCAAATGTTACCAGTCTTACTCCCCCTGAAAATGGGCAGAGTGAAGTGCAATGAAAGTCAATTTAATTAAAAAGCCACTCTCAACTGGCAGTAAATTTTAATGATTGAGAAAATGCTTAGGAGAATTTTACATATCAGAGACAAGGAATAGTTTACTTTTTCAGTGATCTCAGGAATTTCCCAGACACAAATCTCCATTATTCAACTCCATTTAAACAACAAAAAAAGTTCTGCTAGGCTGACCTAAATACGCCAAAACTTTTTAGGTTACATCCATGACAAGTATAAAAAGCACAGATGCTTCTCTGTAGGACTGAAGAAAAAGGTCAGGACAAGTAACAATTCTTGTTCTAAATGCAGATCCTAGTTATTTTCAAATGAATTTTTTTTTTCTAGGAAGCAACATGAAAGTAGCAGTTAGCTACCATAGTTTTAAAACAGGATAAGCCTAAGTGTAATTTACCTTTTATACACCAATGGATTAAGGAAAATGTATAAAGGAACTACTAGTGGTTTCATTACAGGTCAAGGAGACTATATCTGTCCCAACCACAGTACATGGCTATGTCACTGTATCTTTTGGTTAAGTGCCACTGGTAATATTAAGATGAAACAAAACAAAACAACAACAACAACAAAAAAATGTTTGGTCCAAATGGACACATTTTCTCTCCCAATTTTGGTATCAAGGCTTTATTCTCTTCTGTTTGGGTTCCATTGTTAAGTGCACAGAAATAGACAGCAGCATTTGTACTGAAACCCTCACATACCAAACAGCATATTCTAGGAGGTAAAAACCAAATGCTAAATTCTACCCTCAAGGTGTCAAGTGTTCAGGATAAGAAGCAGTGTGACCCAGAGGAGGCAGCAGCCAAGGGAAAGACAACATGAGGGAAGTGGGCAATGGAACAACAACAACAAAAAAAAAACCATTGTTTTATTTTCATGCCAGGAGAGGATCAAGGTGTAACTCCTGTGTTAGCACCAGGACAACCAGGAAAAGTCAGGCGCAAAGGGCAGGGCACAATCAGCAAATATTTGACAAGGATCATTTCTGCTTTTCCCTTCTCATTCTTCACAGTGCATACCTTAAGAGCTGCCACTGAGTAACAGAGACTACTGCCTTCACAGCTCAAAATAACTGACTTTTGCCAGAACCGAACATCAGCAGAGTTTTCCTCTGCTCCCAAAAATGTCTCACTCCTTAGAACTGTCCCTCTAAACTGAATATTCACTGATGCTGGCTGATGAACCAAGTGAAAAATACAGCAAAACCTCCACTTGCTGAACCAGTCTTTAAACCAAACTCCACAGAAAGACAGAACTACTGCAACTAGAGGGAGTGCCTCTAAAGACTGAGCCTTCATGCACAGACACAGAGCACAGAGGAACAGGTTATAGTTCATTTCAAATAGGATAGAATTCCTATCTTATATACTAGAATCTGCTTTTTTCCAGGTGGAGGAGAGATGGATCTGTTTATCACTTGGAGTTTGGTTATACATATGTCTTTCTATTGCTGTTTGGGGCACATCATCAGGCAGTATCTATGAAATCATCATCTTGTGACCCCCAGGAGAAAAGCGGGAGTCACCAACTCAACATTAAGCTTCCAGACTCTGGGTCTAGATCCAGGACCATTACCCCAAGGTGAGGGTCTCACCAGTAGAAGACCTCCTGCCAAATTGGAATTCCTCTGCTCCAGTCTCATGGTACCAAGGAGGATTTCTCAAGATGGTATCTTTGAGCTCTGTGATTTCATGAGCCATACCAAGGAACCTTCAAAGCTACACCTGAAGCAGATCCTCCCTTCAAACCTGCTAAAATTGGACAGGTCATCTCCTCTGGCATTCAGCTGGAAGCTGTAGCAATGGGTTTCTTCAGATGTTGGCTCATGAGTTCCCTGGCACGAGATACTTGGATGTGTTCGTAACATGAGTTACAGACGAGAACTGGGTCATAGAGTTGTTGATCAGGAATGGGCAACTTCAGGTGGCAGCAGCCAGCACAAAACACATTCCCACAATTTCTGCCAAAGCACAAAGAGGGAAGAGTTCAGTATATCAGAAATGCCCATATACTGAGAATGAATGATACTCGAAGAGGCCTTACATGAGTAAGTAAAGAGAAAAGTTGGGCGAAAACAAAAAATCGTCCCTATAAAGGTATCTCTGTTTTCAGATTAACTCAACTTAGCTCATACACATGTATGTTGCTGCTTTATGAGCCATACAGAATCTTATAGAACGTCTTACCTGCAATGGTGTCTTCGTTTGGCCAACCAGAATTCACAATCACAGTTATAGCAATGTGATGCCATATGGTCTGGAACCCAGCGAGTCACCTAACAGAAGGCACAAAGAAAAATCCCAGGTCCTTGTCAACCAAGTGGAAGAGCAACACTGCAACAAGGAAAGCATCTCAGGAGAAAACAAGGTCTTTATAGCTGGCCACTACTTGCCTAAAAAGACAATCATCTAGGAGAGAGCTCCATCTACAGCATGTCACTCATCTCTGAGAAATGAGAACTCAGTGCCTCACGTAAGTATGCATTTGCCTGCACATACCTCAGTCTCTTTCTTATCAACAGGTTCCCAGCTTGCTTCTGAAAGGCAGTCCTCACTGTGATCAGAGCCAAAATCTTCTATATCACTGCCATCTGACTCCTTCAAACATGTCTGAAGAAAAGGCAAAGATATCAACACCATCTTCACCATCACTAACCTTTATTGTTTACTATGCATCAGGTACTATTCTAATTACATTACATGCATGTACTTCTTTAATTCCTCCCAAGAAGCTTATGATGTACACTATTATTATTATCATCCCTATTTTACAAATAAGAAAACTAAGCATTGAGAAAGTCAAGAGATAGTAAGTAGTAAACCTGGAATTTAAACCTAGTCCAGTTGACCCTTGAACCACACAGGTTTGAATTGCATGGGTCCACTTGTATGCAGTTATTTTTCAAGAAATACAGTATAGGACTATGTATTTTTTCTTTCTTATGATCTCCTTAGTAACATTTTCTTTTCTCCAGCTTACTTTACTGTAAGAACACAGCATACAATACATCTAACATACAAAATGTATGTTAGTTGACTGTTTATATTATCAGTAATGCTTCTGGTCAACAGTAGCTGTTAGTAGTTAAGTTTTGAGGACTCAAAAGTTGTAAGTGGATTTTTGACTGCACGAGGGGTCGGCACCCTAACCCCTGCATTGTTCAAGGGTCAACTGTACTTTGGCTTCAGACCCATGCTCTTAACTAATATGCTTTATCACAGCGTGGAAATATTTCTCATTATATTCTAAACCAGGGGCTCACAAACTATGGCCCACAAGCCAAATCTAGCCCACTGCCTGTTTTTGTAAATCAAGTTTTATTGGAAGACAGCCACACTCATTTATTTATGTATTGTCTATGGCTGTTTTCGTATTGTAACAGCTAACCATCCCATCCCAGCAAGTGGACAACAGGCAAGTGGGAATGTCTTAACAGGAGGAAGGGAAGTGCCTGTGTTCATGACAGGATACTGTGGCCAAGAAGCTGACTCCTAGAAGCTCCCCAAGAACTGTGTCCCCAAACTGGAGGACTCCCAACAAAGCGAAGCCTAGACAGTCCTCACCATCTCTCACTTGGGTTATTCCAAAACATATTAACCAGC